AAAATATTCCCTAATTTCCACAGAAAAACTATGGATAAAAGTTTTCCTATTTAGTCATCTGTAATTTTTTATTTAAATAATTATTTGGATAAGTTTCAATTATCTGGATAACTATTATTTAGTTATCTGGAAAGTTTTGGTATATCAAACTTATCTCTCCTATGATCCTCCCCTTCATTAACTACCAGGCAACCTTAATTATGTCCATACTTTCTGGCTAAGGTAAACCTAGTCTGATACGTTTTAAGCCTCTTGCTCTCTCTCTTGATCTCTCTTCCTTTATCACCACAATGAAGTTTCCACAATGCTCCGGAAATTTTCTCCATTCAATCCTAAGAGGTGGTTTTAGTGGGTTCAAGTTTCACACTGTGGCTTTCGATGGTTTCCACCTACTGGAAAAAAACCAGTTAGCAGTAAGTAAAAAAAATCCAAAAAGGAGATGTAAAAACTTTTCTCGATTTTTTGTAAGGTGATTTGTTTTATTTCTAAAATATAGTGTTATTACTAATTACGGGCAATGTCGTTCTAATAGTTTAAGCAATTAACATCACTAATTTTGGGATTCCCTTCATTTTAACATGACGTTAATACATAGAAACAAAAAAATAATTTGGCATTAATGCCTCAAATGTCAATCTCTTTTAAACTCTATAGAGCAAAAAGTTCTCTAACATAAATCATATTCATATAATCTGTATTGCAGTATAATTGATTCAAATATTAAATTTTTGCAAGGAGCTTAATCAAATATATTAAGTATCACAGAAGCAACATGGTGCATTAGAAATAAGAAAATCCATAAGTTTTGCAAGTTCCTTTAGTCAAATCATAAGTCGTAAACATTCGTACATAAGAAGAAAGCAGAGTTGTTCTATAGTAAGAGTGCAGTGTACCACCAAGCCCAAGATGCGACACCTCATACAAGTTCGGTAACTCGCCAAACCATTGAATGCGATTTACTGTCACACCCTCCAATATATAATAATCTGGTTATATATTAATAATTATATTCTAGCCTATAAACTGTTTTTAATTCATTATAGTTTCTTTCGCTAACAAAAATAACATTCATTATCGTATTTGCGTACATATGTACAACCGGGCAAACCCACAAGATACTACAATTGTATTAAATCTTTAATTTGGATTTTATGGATGCAACTTGGACTACATGAGATGCCTTTGGGCAAAATCAAAATACAAGAACTTAACCAAAAACCTTTTGAAACGTATAAGCAATCAAAATTTTTCAAATGCATTAAAACGAAGATTAAACCATGAAATTTCAATTTGTATTCTCCCCGAACAGGTCAACCCATATCCTTAATAGCCTCTAATGCAGACGATATGAGAATGTGTAATTTAGATTTTTTCCTTATTCGTTTAATTTTTGCTTAAGCAAAACCGAGTCAGTGGAGAAAAAAAAAGATTTATGTCTGTTCAATTTTGTAAATATTGTATCGATTGGGTGAGTTTTTGTTTTTATTTTATATTATATCTTTTTTTTGTTTTTTTTTCTTTATTTAACTAAACTTCATTGTCTATTCGAGCAAAATGTCCGTAAATTTAAATTAAACATGAACAAAACGCATATATCAAGTGATACCAATTTTCGATCACTGACAAAATGTGATCCTTTTCTCTTCGATATGTTGAAGTGTTTGTGTATCTACGAGTGACTGACGACTGCCGTATGCATATAAATTAAGATTACTTATACGTTTGTTGGGTTGTCAGTTGTTTGCTTGCTTTATCTGTAGGTTTACATATAGATATATCTGTCCGTCTGTGTCTACTACTCCTCAAACACTGGCTTGTCGTACTTGTGGTGTGTTGTGTGTGTTTGGCCATTGGCAGAACTACGCATAAAACATTTGCTTACAATATGATCCTGTCGAGCTGTGTTCCTCGTTCCTCTTCATTTGCACATGCGAGTTGTGTACCTGCTACCACTGCTTCTATTTTTTTTTTTGTTGTGTTTCTGATTTTATGTATCTGTATCTTTTGTTCCCAATTTTTGCGTTTAATTGTTGTTGTGCCCGTTTTCATACTTACTACACGTATATCTCATATGATTTCAAGTGTGGTTGCTTGCCCTTCATTTTGTTGTAAGGCAAAGTTTTAAATTTCTTGGAAATAAAAGTCTAGGTTTGTAGATACAACAACAAATACCAGCAAATATTATTTAAAAAAGGCTTTTGTTTTGCTGGACGACGAAGGGTAGAAAAAATGGAAAAAGGTTCAATCTAGAGGAGTTTCTTCTTCTTCCTCGGCGCGTTTTTTCACTACCTACTGGCACCATTTAAATGAAATTTTTCATTATTTATAGAGTTGATTTTTATTATTGTTTCGTATGTTTCGTATCTGTATGATACAAACTCGTATGTATATATATATACATTTGAGTATAGATATCAGTTAAATATATACACTTTTTTTATTATTATCAACTTAATAATGGCTTATATTCGTTTTATTTCTAACCTTATGCTTTATTCTTCTCTGTTTTGGCTCCAATTTTTCTTTATTTCGTTTCACTTTTCTGATGCATTTTCTTACTACTCGTATCTACAATATTTCATGTTGTAGGTGCCTCATAACTCAATTGAATCCGCTGTATCTGCATCTGTATCTGTGGCTGTGGCTGTACTGTATTACTGTACTCGTATGTATCTCTGCAGCTCTGGTATTAAGCTGCTATTGTTGGTGGCTTTGTGCTGTTGATTTGGATAATATTGTTATTGCTATCGTTGGTGTTGTTGGTGTTGTTGTTGTTGTAATTTTAGACCGTGCAGGTGTCCAATATTTTTTATACACCATCATTATCGTTTTGAAAACTAGTTCTAGATTTACTGCAGCAAATTTTGTATCTACAGTGTTCAGCGTATTTATTTTAAACATATTCGCTGCTGTGTTGATTGCACACAACAAGTTTTTTTATTTAATTTTTTTACATTTTGTGGTTGTTAAATGCTTTGCATCAATAGGCATTGTGTTTGTGTGTTCATTGTATATTTAAATTTGATTAGTGCTTTAACCATTTTCTATATTTTATTACAAATCTTTTTTTTTTTTTTTGGATTTGTGTGTTTTGGGTAATTATCGAAATTTGGCGTCACTTTCCGTTAAATTCAAATTTGAAAAATTTTAAATAAACACAGAATAGTAAAAAAAGGTAGACTGCATTGGTGACGCCATTTTTAATTGATTCAAAAAAAAAAAAATCTATTAGTTATATAAAATAAAAAAAAAATTCGAGATTGTGGTAAACACAAATGTTAAGTAATTAAAAAAAAATGTCTTAGCTTACAAAATTCAAAGATTTTATTATTTATTTAAAATGCATTATTCAGACTTACAAGTTAATTGCAAGGTCTTGTACGTGCTTCATCCGTTTAAGATACATTAAAATTTGAGAGCCCATTAACTTCAAACCTTTGCTTAGATTCTTTAAGCAAATGGATACATAGATCACACATAAGATATAAAAATAAATAAACTGTTAACACCTTATGCTACAACAATCCGGGTGATTATCATTAAAAACAAAAGGTTTCTTACTTGCTACTCACACTAACGACAACTTCTTGCTTGAAATCGGATTCCATTATAAGAAGAGAGTAAGAAGAGTATAATTATCAACATCATTCAGAGCTATAAAGTCCACGTAGTACCTAAGCTTGTTGAATTTTATGTTTAATTCCTAATAAATTAGGGGGAGTAATTGTTTTAGTGCTTCCAATTGCACTTTTAATAGCTATAACTTTTTTTAATATAAAAAAATGTTAAGTATTAAAATTTCATCCTATTAATAAAATTTTATTTTAAATTATATAATCAACTGTTATTTTATTAACTAAAATGGACCCCAACCAAAAAAAAAACCTTATGTCATAATTGGAAAAATTTTTCTCCATATCTTCCAGTTGATGACATTCTTATCTCTCAACACTTGTCGTACAGTGTCACTCCATCTTATTCTTTTCTCCACCTTCATTTTCTTCTCGTTGCTCTAACTTCATTCACGAAAAACCTGACTGCTGTGTTGGCATCCGCACAACGTGTCCTATCCACTTCTAGCGGAAGTTCTTTATATGTGTGATTATTGTATCACCTTCCATCAGTTGATCGAGTTCATATATCCTCCGTGCGATATCCTCCGTGTTCTTGCACTGATCCAAATACTTTTTTTATCATGCTGTATAGTGCAGAAGCTTGGACAATTATCAACAGTGATGAGTAGGTGTTAGAAGCATACGAAAGGAAAATTCTTCTGAAGATCTATGATCCATAACGCGTTGATGACAAGTGTTGAATTAGATGAAACTATTAGCTGTATGAGCTAAACCGCGACATTAACATAGTTAAACGCATTAAAATACAGCAGCTTCGCTGTCTTGGTCATGTCGTACGAATGGAAGAAAGTGCTATGGCTGAAAGGTGTTTAAATCGGTACCTACAGGTAAAAAATGCGGTAGAGGACGTCCGCATCTTTGATGGAAGGACCAGGTCACAATTTGGGAGCACTCGGTACTAGTACCTGTCGACAGCAGGCAACTGATCGGATTGGCTGGCTGAGGCTACTCGACATTAAGAAAAGGGGCCCGCACAATTTAAATTTTTTTCTAGCTAAGGATGAACACTGACACATGAGGTGGATTTCCTCCTCATTTTCGGAACCACAACATCGCAAAAAATCATTATTAGGCAGACCAAGTTGTATAGCATGTCTTCCTATTAAGCAGTGGCCCTAATTGCATGATGTTAATGTACTAGAAGTACAAAATTTAGGTCTAGAGCTTCTCAATTTTTGGCGCCATGAACGGATGTCACTTTAGGCGTTCGATCTACTGCACTCACTTCATGCACCATTACTACCAATTGGTAAATATTTGTTATTAATAATTTAATTGTTTATTTAATATTTAAATATTTAATACAAGTATATCATAATAAATTATTATTAATGCAACTTAGTTTTATGATAAATTTTTACCGACTTTCGCAACACATTTGTTCTGTTTAATAATTCAAATTCATCCAAATTTCGATCGAAAGGGAAACCGAAAGGCAAGTTATCGAAACTTAATATACCATCAGCAAAATTACAGTTCATGTTGTTTCCAAAACGGAAATCATTAGGTGAAAATAGTGTGGCGACGAAAATCATTTCCATTTTGACGCCATCACTCGAACCTTGTGGCAGTATTAAACGATTCGGAAAAGCGCAATCTGGCGTCGTGATATTCAAAGGAAACACGAATTTATTATCTAACGCTATCAACGTATACTGATATAGTTCGGAGTAACCTGTAGGATCTGTTGTTGTACCAAAAAACTCAATGGATTTACGTTGTATGATATTTACTCCAACCACTACATTTGTGACGAAAGTATCAAGCTGATATATGTTTTCAGAATGGTCACGATAAGAGCGTGAAGTTGATGTCAAGAAAGTACGTAAAACGATTGCTTGTGGTTTATCTGAGGTTACATTAAAAAGCAGAGTAAACGGTTTGTGGTTTAGCCGCTGCTGTTTTGCTTGTAGCGATTTTTTCCATTGAAATTGGTTCATTATATAAAAATGTTTCTCATTCAAGAGGTTGCTTATATCGACGTTATACAAATCGAAGTGCGTAACCAAAGCACTAATGTTAACATTGTTTATTTTGACGCCTGGAAGTTGAAATAAATGACTGTCATAAGGTTGATAATGCGTTATTAAGGACCGATACGAGGACAATAATATTTCTGCAAAATAATAGAAAAGAGGAGTTCGTAACATTGTTTCATAGTTGAGTAGAAGATTCGGTTTTATATTGAAAGAAGAAGACCAATAGTCGTACATTTGCTTTAAGTTAATGTTGAAAAACTCTTGCAACATATTGAGAACATTTTCTTTTTTATGAAGATCAATAGTTTTAACACTACGCCCATCATAGCTCTCTTTACTTATTGCCCTTTCTATATATGCTTGCATATTTCTGATAAATTGCATAACTTTTTCATTAAGTTTGCAGGACATTGGCTCAAACTTTTCACCATATTTACTTATCATATTGGGTATGTAATCCATTTTATGAGTACTACAGGGATCATTAAGAACTTCAGTTAAACCAACTGCATATTTTTCCAGTTTGTAACGCGCTACCAATTGTTGTAAGTTCCAAAGCCAGTACTCATTGAAATTGCTAACATTTTGTGGTGTCATAGCCTCCTTTATAGATAAACCCATGTTCAGGTAATACCAATAACCATTCCAGTCCACATCTTCTATTAGATAAGTTAACTTCCGTTCAGTCTGTTTGAAAAAATTATTTCGACTATAATCCGTTGACAAACATATGTAATCAATATCCTCCATAGCCTGCGTGAAAAGTGCCGAATTTTTAGCAGTTTTTGTTTTACAGGATAATGCATTATTGTCGCTCGTATCGAAAAAATCATATCCGATCTTACTTTTGAGCCACCACTGCCAACTCATGTGATTATGTAGATTTGTTTTGCGTATTTCTTTCATATCACGTTTTGTCTTATACATCTCCGCTGTACTCCAAGAGGCATAGTCAAACTTTTCTGCCCGATAGATTGTTTCCTGATTAAGGAAGTGTTGTGGCATAATTTCATATATTTTTGGTAATATCAAACCATAGAAATCTCCCCGTTTCTGCAGAGCCTGTGTAATTGCATAGACAAACATGCCAGGATTTAAGTTAATGCGAGCCCAACAGATATTTGTTTGCATTATGTCCCAATCTCGTGCATTATAAAGAAAGTAAAATATACCCAAAGCTTGTTCAAAATGTTCTGTTAACAAAGGACTAAAAAAAGAATCCCGGCTCAGTAATTTTTTACTGCAATATTCTTTATAGAACGTTTTCATTTCATTGTTGTAGTCCTTTAAAAATTTATACAAGTTAGTCTTAAAAATAGATAAATTCTTATGTACTTACAGTATAAGCTGATTTGTCCAAAACCAATGATTTCCCAAACATAAGCCACTCCTCATTTTGCAAAGGACTTTCTATGCGATGTAATATTTCGAAGAGAAAACGTTGCTTTTCAAGTAAATAAGAATTTGCTGAAATAGTAAGGAAATTAAAACTAACAATTTAATTAAGCTATGTAAAGAAAATTGCTTTAAAAATTAATAAATTAATTTTTTTAAGATAAATGCAAACGTATCATTTATAATATAGAAGAAAAATAGGATAAAAAGATTTTTTGAAATAAAATACTTTCAATGCGGTTTCCTTTACTTTCGAAAAAATTAAATATGAAATTTTTACCCAATGGAACATTCTTCGATATAGGTGAAAATGTGGCAACTTTCACTGACCTGGTGAAAAATAAAATAATGGGCTTCACTGAACTTAGAACACATAACTTCACAATATTAATAACAAATTATATAATATGATCTATTATTAATTTTTGTTAATTTGCTTTTTGTAATTTTTAGTAATTTTATATTGTATGGGAAGATACAGACCTATATTGATTTCATCATCCGCTATCACATTCTTTATAAAATAAGTTAATATAAAACAAATACAAACTATCTTCATTACGATATAAATTGCAATTATTTTTATAACTTTTTATAAACAATAGTTGTCAAAAAAAATTAATTTTTTAAAACTAAAAAATTTATATAAACAAATTTTATTATTAGAAATTTAAGAAACGTTACGAGATGCACACAAAATATAAATAACAACTAAATGCCCAAAATAATATTTTTTAATTTTTAATTATAAAAATAACAAATCCATGTGTGTTCTTATCATATTAGTAAAGAGCCTCTTTGACCTTTCTCAGATTGTCCATAAAAATACTTAAATTAAATGCTAATAAAAGGTAAATATATTCCACAATACAGTGGAACAAATATGTCTGCGGACTGAAAAGTGCTGTAAAGAGATAATATGGAGATTTATATTAGAACTTCGAATATTATTCGAACTGTTCGAAACTGTAACCCATTTTGATATTGGAATATATTTACGTTTCAGTACTTGGCTCATACATGGCAATGTACACAAAATTGTTGACACATCATGTGATCTTCAAGCAATCATATGGCTGTCAAATTTTACAACATTTAAGATATTTGATCTCAGCAATCGACCACAAATAATTCGATATTCGATGCTCAAACATCATGACACTCAAAAACTTTAAAATACTGATATTGAGTATTTTTAACAGCTATTACTACCTGCTTATAGCTGCCAAAGTCTTTTAAGTTACTACTTTGCCTAGACTTTAGCAAGGTTTTAGCATAGTGTATCATCTTATCACTATCACATTATCACGAAATATTACTTATTAATATTGAAACATAAAAATTTTGCCAAATTCTAGCAAATATGCATACCAAGTTTTTACATATATACTATAATAATAAAGTTAGTAATACTACTAACAGATGTAGAAAGATGGATTAAATAACTAGTCTTATAACCAGTCGAATATATCAAAAAATACGAGCATAGAGTCAATTTCTTCATTAGATATGTCGTAAGGCGAAAAATTCACGACATTAGTATTTAAATCAGCTATATGCAAACTCTGGTAATAGAATAAAAGGTCTTCAGGCATCACAACCTGAGACAGGTCGAAACAGTAGTCCAGTAAACAGAAGTAGTGAAAAAGCCCACCCATACAAAGTTCGCGCGATCCTATAGTCCGCAAACTTCTTTAGTCTGCGATTTATTTATTTAATATAAATAAATAAGTAAATTAAATAAATTTAATAAATTAAATAATATTAAATAATTGAACAAATAATAAATAATAAAAATAATGGAAAATAAAAATCAATAATGAAAAAAGTAAGGCCCTGTTTATATGCGCAAATGGAGACAGAATCCGTCAAGAGTGAGAATGGATGATATGTTGATAAATTGGGAGGATAGCGTTAAATATCTCGGCATCACGTTGGACAAACAATTCACATGGCTTAAACATGTTCAACTGAAAAGAATTTGCTGTGCTAAAATTCTTCATCACATCCAACCGCTATTCAAAAATGAGAATCTCAATGCTAAGAACAGGAAACTGATATATAACCAAATAATTCGTCCGTCACTTCTATATGTTTGGGTAGCGTTTAGCAAAGCTTCAAGCACTACTATTCACCAGCTAGAAATTGCACAAAGTCAGGCTCTGATAAGACTTTTCAAAGTTCCATGGTATATTAGGACGATTGACACCCTCAGGGACATCAAGGTTGATTCCATCAAAAAATACATAAAGGATAGAGTTCTGAAACTATTTCCGAAAACTGACAGACTTACTAACACCGCATTATCAAATTTCAGAATGGTTACCAGCTCCTCGGGAAAGTAAGCAGATCTGAGGTCAATTATTGCTTAGTCTGATGAAGTGATAAACAATAATCTAGTCAAGGTGTAGATAGGGGTTTTGAAAATACCTTGAGTTAAGAAAGAGTAAAAGTGCTTAAGTGCACTGGCTCAAAACGGCTTCAACATAATAATAATAGTTTAATAAATTAAATAATTAAATAAATAAATTATTTTAGTGATAGTATCAAGTATTTT